TTTAAGAAAAATAGATGTTCTAAACTTGCTTATAAATCTATAATGTTTTGAATATACTAAATCAGTTTTTTTGTGTGTTTTTTTTTCTTTTTTTTTTTATTCTGGAGAAACAAAGATCCTTATCACCTTTTCAACAGAATCTGGTAATTTGTTTTAAAATTTAAGCCATTTAGAAAAGCTAATATTTTAATTATAATATGTTAAAGATTTCTACTTCTATTGGATATATTTTATTATTAAAAGTATTTTATGATGAATTCAAGTACTTTTCTAAAATACCCTAAAAATGAATGAAGTTAACCTAACAATTTTTATTAACCTTGGTTTCAGTTTTTATTTCAATGCATTCAGTAATTTTGGACATGACTGCAAGATATAGGGTCAAACATATGGTATTTATTTTTTAAATAAAACAAAATTTCAAAAAATATATTTTATAATAAATTCTGATTATTTGCCTTTTCTTCATACGGCAAGTCAATGGTGAAGTGTCATCAACTTAAAAGCAGCTGTTCTGAAGCACACTTCTTCTACTAACTCACTYCAAATATAGGCACTAGACCTGTTGACCTCAAATTTCCCATTTATTCTTTTTGTCCCTTCAAAAGAGCAGTGACCTGGCATGGACAAATATTTGGACATCCACCTTCATCTTAGAGCTCAGCGCTGCTCCCACTTTCTGCCCCATGTTCATAGTTACCCATGTGTTGCTGCCTCCCAGACTCCAGATGAGTCTGGCTGCCAAAAGCGGGTCCTGGGTGGAAATCTTCCCGAGTATCTCGGACATCCCTTTCTGCCTGAGAAATAGTAAAAGCAAATTCAGGCCTATTGCATCTCTTCCTTTTCCTTGTAAGCCAAAGAAAGGAAGCCAATGTAAGTGGAGCACTGTGAGCAGGAGGGAGATCTCAAGGAACTAACTATGTAGGAGATGCAGGCAGGGACCCAAGTTTGAATTTCATTCTAGATGCAGTAGGAGGCAAACCAGTCTCTGGGTTGGCATTGCAGTCATTGCTGTGAAGTACGGTGATGATTCAGTCTAGTTTGATGGCACGGAGGATGATGAGAAGAAAAGAGATTTGAGATGCTGTATCCAAAATGGGAAGGTTAAAGGAAGACCAAGGTCRCTGGTCAGGGAACAGCTGAAGCCACCACTCACTGGCAACTTCTAGAAATGCTCCGTTTGAGACAAGTTGTTGATTAAATAAATGAGTTTATAAATAAGAACAGGAGTGAAAATAGATCAGTTCTAATTGGTTTATTAAGAGTCCAGAAAGTAGCATCCTTTACTGCTAGTATATAAATAATATCATCACTTTATATTGAGACAACAAGAGGACACTTTCTTGTATAGTTCTTAGCAAACAGTATGCATGTAACAAACCAGAATTTTAAATGGGATAGAAAAAAAAAAGTAAACTAAATTTCTCCTATATGTTACTGCTTCTTAGTGTACACTATATAGTACTCTATGGATTAATGTCTGTGAACAAAATGGTCTTTCTGGGCCCCATGCTACATGGAAAAATAAGTCTACAAGTAAGCCTATAATTGCTTATATTTTAAGCRAAATATTGGTGTTTAAAAAGAATTCCAATTTGGTAACTGTTAAGCACTAATTTTTTTATAAGTTGACTTTGCAGATAGGCTATTTATGTTTATTATTGGTGCATCCMATCTCCTTCTATCCTCTTCTATTAGGGCCACAGCAAAATAAAAAGAGGCCAGAACAACACATAAACAATAGATGTGGAGCCTCAGAGACTTCATTCCCCTTTCTTCCCTTCACATCTAAAGTTAAAACAAAATTTATATTGTTTGAAAGGATAAGAACAAATATGTTTTTCCTCCATGGTTCAAAGACCTTTAAATATCACTCCCTTCTAGAAACAGAATATTCCTATTCAAGTGGAATTTTTATAGTTTTGTGACCCCCCCCCACACACACACTTAACTTTTATTCATTTTTTAATAAGAAAGCATCTTGACCATAAAGAGAACAAACTTATATTTAACTTTAAAGTTTTGGCTTCTAAAACTTTGATCTTTCTTCCTTATGTTTTGTTTTCTTTCAAGAGATACTTATTAAGCGTCTACTCCATGAAGGCACTTTTCCGGACATGAGGAAACATTAAGTGAACAAAAGGCAGATATCCTTGCCACTGTGGAGCTTGTATTCTTGTGAAGAGAAAAGTAACAAAAAAAAATAAGTAAAACAAGCATCATGTAAAATAATGATAAATGCAACAAAGGAAAATAAAGCCAGTAAGGGAGGTGAAGACAGTCAGCAGATGTGTGTGGGTGGAGTGAAGGACTTCAATTTTAGCTAGGGTGGCCAGAGAACTTTTTACTTACAAGGAAAGTTTTTACAGAGACCTAAATGTCGTGTTAAATATCCTTTCTGTAGGAATCGCTCCCAGGTCCCAATTCTGAAAGGGCAACCTGGGGTGAATGCAGTAGGAGGAGCATACATCCTCTGTAATAGAATGCTTTCTGAATTATGTGTGCCATTGCTTTCTGCTAAAATGAGAAGTTGTGGAAAAGTTGAATAGACATACTGCTGGAATATTTATAATTTAAAAAGACTCTGCCAAAGCTTCTATCAATAAGAAATAGTCATGAATTCCATGGTTCACATCACCTTCTGAATTTCTGCAAATTGCCRATGCTTATCTTGAGTCAGGACTTTCATTTCTGCCTTTATTAGTGGCAAGTTGGGATTGTGTTCCCATCTTCAGTATGCCACATATGTCTGTTCCAAAGAGCCCTGTGCTTCTCTGAGAAAAATTGGAATGCAGGGTTTTCACCTGGTTTCCTCTCATTCTTCAGTATAAAAAACTTTCTTTTTTTCATTGTTCCATAATCATGGTCAGTTATTTATAGGAATGCAGTAGGGTGTTTTGCCATTTTTGTTTATTATTTTGGTGTATATTTTAAAGTGCTAAATACATTTTATTTGGAGGCTCACATGATTTTAAATTCAATTAAAATCCCCTCTAGTAGCTAGACAAAAATGCTGTTTTGTTTCACTTTTTGTTGTTGTTGTTGTTGTTGTTTCCTTTTCAAAGCTAAGAATACTAACTGCTTACATTTCATTAGCAGTAAGCTTTTGGTCTTCATGCCCATATTTATTTTCCTGGATCAGTCTTTTCATGAAATAACTTTTTATTTTAGATTCTGTTTAATTTTTCTACATTTAATTCAAACTACCCAGTACCATGAAAATTATCAAGATAAGGTTAATAACATAAGAAAATTTGGGGGAGAAAGAAATACATAGCCAGAATCACAATACAGCTAAAATCTATAAAGGGAACAATGAAGGAGGCATAAAACAGCAAATAGAAATACAAAGAGGAAATGTAGGATAACTAGTTACAATGTAATTTTAACAATAATAACAATCAAGGATTCAAATGCTACCATGTGCCAGTTCTCAGAAAGTCCTTTATAGTTGTTATACTAATCATATTAGTTTGCAGTTAACTCAATGACTAGTATCTAGACAATGATGACAATAGAATGAAATAAATTACATGTTAATTAAAACATAAATAAAATAAATTTTAATTTTCTATTTTATGTTTTTCATACAGTATTCTCATATGTAAGTCAAATTTTGGGGACATAGCTGTTAGGGAACAGAAAATAAATAGGAAATGAACTCAGAGCTACTAATTAAGTTTTTAATTAATCCTTTATAAGTAAATATTCAAAGGATTTTAAGAAAACTTCAACATTTTAAAATTTTCCACATTTTTATTAGTGCATTATAGATGCACAAACTGGTGGGATTTATTATTACATGTTCATACATGCACACAATACAACAATACAGTTTGGACAACATCATTCCCCAGTGTTTCCCATTCCCTCCCCTTCTTCTTCCTGGGTCCCATTTCTCTACTCTTCTGATCTCCCTTCAATTTTTATGAGACACCCCTCTACAACCTTTTGGAAAATGTTCATTTTTACTTATTACTGGAAAGCCAAGAATCCTTAGTGTCATATATTTTTGTGTGTATGAATATACAAATAAGTGAAACTTCTTAGAAAATCCAATCAGTCTAACCCATTCTTAGCTAACATCATAGGAAAGCCCTCTAATAAATCATTTATTAATTTCTAAGTTTGAGGAAGAAAACAAGAGAGATGCAAAAAATAATTGAAGAATTTTTATGATACATACTTGTGTGTATAGCAAAAATACTTAACTAAAAATGTCTCCAGATGAATCATTTTTGGAAAATTTCTTTTTCTCTCCATTAGTATTTGTTTTGAAACATATTCATAGGCTATTTAATAACTCCACAACTTTATAGACACCAACAATGAACCAAGTCATGTGTTATTCACTAGAGATAAGAATAGATACAGTGTCCTGTGTTATGTATACAATTATTATGAGATCAGATAGCAGAAGCACTTAACCCTTATTGTAATCTGATATGATGCCTTTTTAGGGGGGATAAATTTAGCCATTTATGGTAATCATATATTTTATCACCCAAACCATGACACATGGTAAAAGAGTGCCCTACATATATTTTCACAGGACATTATGTGTGACATGAGCATACCAGGACACGGTGCCCAGGTTCATTCCCACCATCTCAGATATGGAGATGTGGCATTTCTCTAAAAATGTCAGGAGGTATACCTGGCTATAATCCTACCCTCATATTCAGGAAGCCRACTCACATCCCCAGATGGCAGGGACCTGTGCGTGCTCTGATTTTTCCATCTAGAAAGCCTTGGAGATATGTAAAATGAGATCAAGTACTTTGACATTATGCTTTGTATAACATTGGGTGGTTTAGAGATTGGGAAATTAAGGACAAACCCTTTTGTGATCACCATGGTTGAGTTGTTTAGCTCTTTCCCTGACTGTTTTGACTTAAGACAGTAACAATAAGTTGAACTTAGCTTTAAAACCATCCACCCAACCACTTCGGTGGAGGCCTGCACTTTGTGAGCAATGATGGCCTTTGCTTGGGTTGCAGGACCAGTGGTTTTGGCGAGTGAGAAACAACAGAGTGATGGATGGATACCCCATGCAAATTACCTACTTCTGGCGGGGCCTGCCTCCTAGCATCGATGCAGTTTATGAAAACAGTGATGGGAATTTTGTCTTCTTCAAAGGTAAGGATGTTTTTTTCCATGTTTGCCAATGCTGTGTTTGGGTCATGTTGTCCAGGGACCTGTAGCAGAGACAGAGGTGAATAAGTAAAACCTATTATGGGGGATTAATTAGCAAATGGATTTTATGAAATAAATTGCATGTTAATTAAAACATAAATAAATTTTGATTTTCTAATTTATGTTTTTCATTCAGTATTCTCATATGTAAGTCAAATTTTGGAGATATTCTATTCTCTGGGAACCTAAACTTTTGACCTAAAAGCATAAAAAAAAATTAATTAAAGCCAGGCATGATAGCTATATGTGCCTGTTGTCCCAGCTAGTTGAGATGCCAAGACAGGAGCAGCAGTTTAGCCCAGGAGTTTGAGACCTGCCTTTGCAACATAGTGAGAACTTCATCTCAAAAAAATAAGTAAATAACCATTTATTATTTTTTTATTTATTGGTTTATTCTTTCCTAGGGTATTTAGAGTTATTGCTGGTTTATGCCATGAAATCTATTGTCCAACTTATTTTCAGATAGTCTTTGAAACTCTACCAGATTTAGTCAGTTTACATAAATAATTTACAGTAAACTAAAAAATAATAATAATCATAGTCATAAAGGCAAGGAAAGCATATGTGTAGAAAACTTTGTCCACTTATCAGTATCATGAAATTTATTGCCTGTTATTTATCTGAGTAAGGGATTTTAGTTTCACAAGTCCTATTAACTGCCTGACATTAAAAAGTAACAGCTGAGAAGTGAACTTCATGGAGTACTTGCTCCTCCCTCTTCAAACTTGCTAATATTCAAAATCACCAACCTTAAACATAGGAGAAAGCAAGAGATGGATTGAGTTGAATTGTTAGGAGAACACACCTGAGCTGAAGGTAAGGAGAACTACAGTGCAGAAAGAATATGATCGACCATGTTATCCAAGAATCTCAAAGGCCAAAAAACCAGCTCAAACATGAATACATTCTGAGGGGAAAGAAAGAGAATCTTAACCAAAAAGTTCATTATTCTCAGGATCCAACTAGAGGAATTTATGATAATGACGAGAGTAATGGAAACAAGAGATTTGAGTAACAAAATTTTTAACTGAGATTCAAAGTGCCTACATGAAATGAAAGTATATCCTAGAATTTACTTTCTCTTCCCAGATTATTCCTTGAAAACAGAAGCAGTATAGTGCATTATATATAAAATCATGTGTGTTCTGAGGTCGTATCACCACTTTTGAACCAGGCAGTTTGCTCAATTCTCTTTATTTCAGTTTCCCCATCTGAAAAATGGGGCTTGTATTATTCCCCATCTCAGAATGATTTTGAGGTCTAAATCATTACTACATTGAAAGTATTTGGCACATGTATGTTCTTAATAAATGCCAGCTGCTGCTGCTACTGGCAAGATTACTGATGATGCTGTTGCTACCTTTCTGCTATTCTATAATAAAAGTGTAACTCAATTGGACTTGTATTCTGCCACTGCAGGTGAAGCAAGGGTACCACCTAAAACTTGTCAATCTTAGTAACTGGAGGGGAGTTTTATCCCCTATACCCTTCTTTGGTCGCAGGAGTAGTAGCAACAGAAAGAAGGAGAGGCTAACCCCAGGGTAGCCTCCAAAGGCCCAGTCTCACCACAGGGTCAATAGTGCTTTCTAGCCAGGCACAGGAGTTCACCCCTGTAATCCAGCAGCTCAGGAAGCTGAGGCAGGAGGATTGTAAGTTCAAAGCCAGCCTCAGCAAAAGTGAGGTGCTAAGCAACTCATTGCAACCCTGTCTCTAAATAACATACAAAATAGGGCTGAGGATTTGGCTCAGTGATTAAGTGCCCCTGAATTCCATCCTCAGTACCAAAAAAACGAGAAAAGTATTCTCTAACACTACCACCTGAGGACTAACTGCCACCATTATAAATCAGACTGAGACAGCTTTTTTTTTTTTTTTTTTTTTTTATTCACTTTGCCTTTCCTGCTCACTAGTGAAATAGCTGGCTCCTTTTCATCTTTCAGTAACTAGTATCAAAGCCAAATCCTGGGTGCCCTCCACACACCCTATTTAAGTTATTCCTTCCCACTGACATGCAGCACTTGTAACCGAAATTAAAAATTACCTATGGCATTCTAATGAAAATGTCATCAGGGATAGATCCTGTTTATATTTTTTTGATGCCACTGTATGTTTAGTTCCTAAAACATTGCTGGGTGCATAGTAGATGCTCAGCAAACATTTTAATAAAAGCAATATCATTCAATACCAATTTGATATGGTAAGATATTCGTTATGGTGCTAACAACAGCAACAATTTGTCTCCAGCCACAGAATRTTTTAATTTCTAGACCATTAAACTTGTCAGCTTTTGATACATTCTGAATACTAGGAAATATCTCCTCTAAGAAATTTTGTCACTCCAAGGACCCTGTCCTGATGCTGTTCCTCCAGTTTACTCTCCTGGCCACTTCAGTGGACTTTTGAGAGCCCAGCTAGACATGGATGAGCTCTCCTCCTCCAAACGCCATTGCTATCCAAAGGGAGCCAGAAGTCCTGGGGGTGCCCAGTGTCTAAGGAGGGAAGTGGGAGCCTGGCACCCTGGGCTTAAATCATTTACTTTCTCTATCTTCATCAGAGCAATCACAATCAAAGTGACAGTCCCTGTTTTGCACTGTCTCCTTATATCCTTTATCACCTCAAAAAAAAAAAAAAAATGCAGAGATCCACCTCACTCCTCATCCAAGCCTGCCATCACCATTTACCATATAGGCCATGAGGCCATCTGCATCCCTCTCTGGCTGTCCCACCCTCCTCCCTGCTTCAATTTTCTACATAGCATCTGACAGAATATACAAGTCACTCACGTACTCTTTCTCAGAATCCTTTTCACTAGAATATCAGACCCCCAAGGGAATGGTTTTCTTTCCTGTCCCTGCTCGGCTCTCCCTTTGGTCCTTTCTTATCCCCAATATCTTTAACCAGGATTTGAAAACCTTGTTCTGTAATCACCAAATAATAAATATTTTAGATTTTGTCATCACTATAGTCTCTATTATATATCTTCCTTTGTTTTTTATTTGTATGCCTGCTTTATTAATCTTTTAAAAATGGGAAAATTATCCTTAAGCCACAGATCATAGTTTGTCATAGATCTCTGTCTTAAATAATAACTGCAATAGTAAGCACTCAACAAAGATTTATAGAATAATAAAATGCAAGCCCTATACTGTGACCCCAGAGCTAAACATGTTGGTCTCAGGCTACACCTGTTAGATTGGGCTCTTGTCACTCATAGGTTCATGCATTACTTCTTTAATTTTCTCTTTTCTTGTGCCTTTCTTGTCTTTATTTTTCTTTTATTTCTTTTTTTTTTTTTGGTCTTTAACTTTTCTTCTCTGAACATAGGACTTTTATTTTTTTTGTCTTCTAATTAATACTACACAATAATGCTCATATTTAATCTGCATAATCTTATATTTTCCCCTTTAACCAAAGTCCATGTTCATATATAAAACATTAGCCACATATTCCCTAAAAATATTTGGTGTTAACCTTGCTTTTATCTTGTATAAGAATTTGAAGACATAGGTTCAACTATTTAGTTATAAATTATAAATGCCATCTTAGTAATATAAAAATAACCACAACCTTAATATTCATATAAACTCATAAATATCTTTGAAAGAATGGGACAATACTAGTCATAATTCAAACTACATATTTTGGCATAATTTACATATTTTCTTGAACTGTGGACAGAATTGCATTTGTACATTTATATGCAGTGAGAGTTGTGAGACCATAAATTATAAAAACTAAAAATGTAAACAATTTATTCTCTATATGCATATGATCAATTCTATATTTTTATCATAATCTCATTACCTTTTGGTATGACTACATATAGTATATCAAAACATTAAGGGTGGCTTCAGCTTTCAGTCAAAATATAATAACAGGTATCAGACATATCATTGTACCTTAAACACACAAAAAGTGGGCAAAGTACATGAAAGGATTATTTTCAGGACACTGAGTACCAAGGAACAAAGGACAGTGAATCTCCAGAGTCAGATGACATCTGAAATTGCTCTGGGCAATTGCTCTGCCCAGATTCCTATGAAGAATTGTCCCCCAGAGAATTTTCTAGGTTGTAGCATGAGGTGGGGAAATTCAGACAAAAACTCAGAAGACTATCCAATTGAGGACAGGAGTTGAGAATCCAGGGTGAACAAGTGGCTACACTGTTCAGGATAAAGTCACGCAGAGAGAGCTGCACACAGAGGCCTAGGGATAGGTAGATAGTCCGCATATACATTGGAGAGAGCATTGCTTAGTGTGTGTTTAAGGAAACTCAAGTTTAGAGACTCATTTCATAGGAGGAGAAGGAGCAGTGTCTGGCACTCAGAGAGGGTTTATGATACCAACTGCTACCTGCCACCTGTCATGGGCAGTGGATACAGTACTGAGACAGGCCTAACCTCAGTAGTCAGGAATAATTATCCTAAAATGAGTACTCCCCTGGTCATGCCTAACAAATATTTAAGGTAACACCTGAAGTCATAAAATCGATATCAAGCAACAGATCTATTTTAAAGTTCAAGAATATTTATAAAGATGTAAAACTACTAACCCCAAAATGTAAAATATAAAACATGTGCCATTCCCCATAAGCTCAGGAGCAAGACAAGGATTTCTGCATGTATCAAGTCTATTCAATATGATACTGGATGTTGTATCTAGTGTAGTAAGGCAAGAACTATAAATAAAAAGCATCCATATTACAAAGAAAGAATCACAGTAATAATACAGTTGTTCAAAGAGCAAATTGATTATCTATGTAGAAGTAATGCAGTCAACTAGAAAGCTTCTCAAATTGATAAGTTAATTTTGCAAGGTTGCAGGACACAAGATAATTATATGAATATCAATTATGTTTCTATAAATCTTCAAGAAATGTGAAGATTCTGAGATTTTGCCTTGCTTGCAAGCTACTAATTTAGTGTCACTTTCATGAATGTCGG